GCAAATGTGGGCACGCCGAGCAAGGCGAATTCTCAGGGGCGGCGCCCATGGCGTCATGTTCGCCGCCCTCGGGCCCCCGGGGCCCTCCGCTGGCCCAAGGGCAGCCAGCAAAACTGCGCACCTGGAACGAAGAGCCGATGCTGGTGAAAGCCCCCCGGGGTCTGGGGCCGCTCCCTTCGGGACCCCTCTCCTTAAAGGCGGTTCCACCTCGCCTCGCCGAGCGCATCGCGCTGGAGGGGTGCTGTGCATTCGGAGTGGCCCCTGGGAGCGGTGCACCGACCCTCCGGGCATGCTGCAGGACTCGGGGTAGACAGGAGGACGCCATCGGGAGAGAAGGGCGGGCGGTGCTCACGATGAGCAATTTCGCTCATCATCTCGCTGATGGCACCCCACGGTGCGCCGCCGCTGGCATCTCTCGGGGAGCCCGCTTTCATTTCTTTTTCTACCACGCTAAAACCTTTAAAAAAAATCGAACGGGTGTCTTACGACGGGCCCAACAAAAAAAAACACCGACAAAACGGCGCTGCACGGGAGACTGAAGGGAGCACGGTAGCAAGGGAAAGGAAACGAACGCCATGCCAGAGTCATACCCACATGATCCTACACTGGAGACCCTCCCCTGCAGAATGGCAGTACGGAAGCAGCCACCTCAAGACCCTGTAGTCCTGCGGTGGGCCCTCCTCCCAGAAAAAGCTAATCCGAACTATCTCGAGCCCATTCTAAAAGAGCCCATAGGAACTCCCGACGTGAAATCAGCCAGCCAGCCCAGACGATGAGCTGGCTTCTGACGGATTCTGCGAAGGGGCGTCGGGGGGCCCGACTACTGTCGGCAACCTCACTCACTTCTTGGCACGCTTCAGTTTTCTGCCGCCCACCCCCTGAAAGAATGTCCTCGAGCTTTCGTGGTCTTAGACCTCTGGGTCGCAGATTTAGAACACCCCTTCTGGGTATTACGTAGCTGCGAATATACACATGGCCACCTCCGCGGGCCCCTCGCCCGTCTCTGCCATCGCCACGACGTCGAAGCAACGGGCCGCCTTGACCTTCACCCCTGCGTCGCTTGCGCCCTTGCCGAACTCCACCATCGCCCTCGGCGTCTCCACGGCCTTTGCGGGGCTAGGCCCCTAGGCGATGGCCAGCCCCACGCCCGTCAGCCCCCCCACCCCCGCCACCTCGCGCACCCCCAACACCGACGCGCGGAGGCAAGCGTCGGGGTTCTTTCCAAGAAGATTGCTGCGGCACTCGCCCGTCTCCTCCTTGTCGCGGCAGCCCCCACCGTCCCCCGGCAGCGCTTGGCGCGCGCCACCAGCGCCAGATGCATCCAGGGGCCGATCTCGAGCTCCAGACGAGCGCGTTCCACTGCTCGCAAAGCAACAACTCGCAAGTGGCCTGGATCCCCCGCAGGAGATCCACGATACATCACACCGAAGAGCAAGCAGGTGTTTGTTTTGTTCTGACGTTTCTGAATAAGATATTTGCGAGTAGTGGAACGCGCGCGGCGAAGCCCGGCCACAACGTTGTCGCCCTTAGCCGAGCTGCGGACGCTATCTTCGCGATGGATATTGCCCTTCTTCGCGATGCCCTTCGGTTCCTCGCCCTCCTCGCCCCTGCCCTGGGCCCCCGCGTCGGCGCCCGTCGCACCCCGCCTCGCGGCCGGCTCCGCCGCCGGCGCGAACATGGTCGACGGGCACCTGCGGCGGCACCGGGGGATTTGGCGGCGGCGAAAGATCAGCCCCTCCCCGCTCTGACCCTCGAGCCCGGATGGACCCTGGGCCCCGCGCCAGCCCCCGGCAGACCAAGAGGGGGCGGGCGCCCCCCTGCAAGATCCGACGCAGCAGGGCGCCCTTGCGAGGGAAGGTCGTCGAGCAATAAGGGCATCTCTCGGCGCTGAGATCGCCCTCTGGAACGTTGACCCGCTCGGCGGCGATGGACCGCGCAGCGCATCGATGTTTCTCGAGACACGCCCCCCGACACATTTTTCCTCATTCTGGGCCATGGTGCCGACCGATTACACTCAACGATCTATCTGGCTTCTCGCGCCAGGTCGCGCCCTGCTTCGCCCGGGAGCATTTTCCTGCAAGTCTGCGTCGGAGAGGAAAAAAAACAGATATGCAATGCCCAGGAAGAAATCGACGACTCGCTCGGCGCCGCCACCCAGCCCACCGCAGCGAGGGGAGGCCACGGCACGCGCATGTGCCCCAGCAACTGCCTCAAACGCCCGTTCGTCGTTCTGCAATTCGGATCCTCAAACCAAAGCTGTCCGAAAATCAACCACGCGACTGCCTCCGACGGGCCACGTCGGGAGGCATGGGGCAGCAGTCCAGGGACAAGGCAGATGCTTCGGCCATTTCGAACGGCGATGCAGCGACGGCCAATTGACACCGAAGACTTTAGCTCGACGGCGTATTCCAGCATTGGGGGTGTGGCGCTAGTGGGATGAGGACTTGAGGGCGCGTCTCAGTTTACGCATCTGTCATCGTTCCGACTTGTCCATCCATCTCCGCCCTCGCCACAGAACCGGCGCCCTCGAGCGCGCGCGGGGCTGTCGGCCTCACCAGAGAACACTGACAAGGGTGCTGACGTTGCCTGTCAAGACCCTGGGGGAATCACCCGCGGGCCTGACTGGCGCCTAGAAGTCCGGTCTAGACCTCTGTCGAATACGCGCCTGTAGCCCAGAGCGCGCCGCCGGGGTACTTCACGTCGGCGCAGGGCGCATTGCTCGGGGCCGCCTGTTTGTCTGTCCCAGGTTACCACCAGCTGGCTTGGACGACATCTGATCCCGAACCTTTCGGCACCCCTGGCCCAGAAAAATCAACATAATATCGTTGTTGTTAAGGACATCCACCGTAAAACCACCGGCGAAAAATCACCCCGCAAGGACTCTAGGAAAGAAGCGGCGTCTCCAGAACATCAACAAAAGTCAAGCGATGAAACAATCACCGAACTCGACCTGGGACGCATCTACGTCATGCTGCGTGACCTCCGAAAACTCCCCCGAGACCCTGAAAATTCTGGACACGGGATCAAGCTTCATCTGGATGCCCGAGAAAATGTCCACCGCAGCCTTAGCAACGATGTCCTTAATGAGACGGTCGTAGATAGCTATAGGTAGACTTGGTCCTTCCACGCCCCCATGCCTCACCCCTTCCTGCTGAGCAGTTGTCTCCAGGGCCCGTCAAAGCAAACATCACGTTGTATGTAACAGGCGCGATTTGGACAAGTCTTCTACAGCACCACGGGTTCTTCGCGAAATGGTCAACTCATCGATCCAGGACGGCCCACACCTGACTGCGAGCCAAAGACCGAACGCCCTCTCCAAACCGATCAACGCTGCAGCGAGGATCTTACTATCCATTTCGGTGCGACTCGGGTCATCTCTGAGACGCCTGCCGATCTCGAACCAGCGCGATAACATCACGACAAGTTAGTCACCATTGGAAGGCCCCGAGTTGGGTCGTTGAAACCTGGCCCGCCGACGACCTGAGCTCGGGCACGATGACAGCATCCGAGACCACGTTTCCGATGTGACCGATGAGGCTCTTCGTACTCTAGCAGTCTTTATCATTATGCCCGCCCCTTTCGGCTTTATCAAGGACACTGTTTCCCCATGTTTGAAACGCTGGCGCGCTTGAAGTTGAGGGGCTCGTCAATGGCTCACACGATGTCGTCTACCTCGCAGTTCCCAAGAAGCTCCTCATCGGGGCCCTCTGGTTTAATTCGGGGCATGCCATTCTCATGCATCGGTACTTCAGTAGTCTCGAAGATTGTACACTAGGCGTCCGTTCTGACCAGCGCGTCCTCAACGTCAACGAAACACAAGGCATCTGTCACTAAGATATGGACCGTGAGCATGGGCATACGCGTTTGAGAGGTCAGCGCGTTCGCTATGGAATAACAGCGGCGGGTATAATCCACGGCATACGCTCGTTTTGCGGCTGCTACTAAAGCAACCGTCATCAACTCTTACTGCTGTCTTGCCTTGCTTGGCTGCGCGCTTCAATCCGACGCCTTTGTTTCCGCTGGCTCCAGCCAGCGGAGCCACCCCTGTTCTTTTTCCACGCACATTTTTTCCGTCGGCGGCTGGGCAGAAGGCGACTGCCTTGGCGGATAGGCAACAGGGGACACGCAGTATGCAAATTAAGGCCGCAACGCACGGAAGGAGGAGGAGGAGCCCCGGCGCGACGGGAAAAGAGGAAGCCGCCAATTTTTACACCCAGACACACAAGCCACCGCCCCTTATCGTCCACAGCTCTGAAAGCCTAGTGTTGGGCTAGTAACATACCGAAGCCTACACACGAACGCGAAAACATCGGCGCAATCGAATCTAATCGATCGGAGCCCTCGAATGCACAAGGCCGGGACCGACTCCCAGGACACTGACCCCAGGAAGAGCGCCCAGATCCCAACCTCGCGCACCCCATCCTCTTGGGGGGCGGCACTGCAATGGCAGGCCCCCCGAGCCCGTCTAGGCCCAGGAGGGCCAACGGCCACACGAGGAGCCCACAAAAAAAAACGCAACAACGCAACAACCGCTAAGTGCCACCCCCACTAGGTGAAAAAAACGATTGGCTCAACTGTGTTTGATTCGAACTACTGGACCCCGCGAGCCCCCTCACTTCTTCTGACGTTTGGAGCCCTTGCATCTGGCCTTGGCCTGTTTTCTCGCCTTGAACGAGATCCTTTCCACCGTTTCCGCCGCTTTGCTCCTGGGCGCCGCGTCGCGCTCGAGCGAGAGGCCGGCTGCGAGGGCGCCCCCGTTGTCCCTCAACTGCATGAAGACTTGATGAAATTTGGGGTGGTGGCACACTGCGAAGGTCAATTGCTTGACCTCGTTGACCGCGTTCTCCGTCGCCGTGATCATGAAACTCCTGAACCCTGGTGATCCCCCCCCGCGATGCGCTTCACTGCCTCCATCGTGGCCTCTGGATCGGGCCCCTGCTGGATGGCCGCCGCTACCTCGGCCTCGTTGGCGAGGAGGGCTTCCGTCACGCGAATAGCACCATCTTCATCTGCGCGTCTGGGCGCTTGCCCCATGGGTGGCCTTTGAAGTCGCCCTTTTCCCGCTCCTGCTTGCCCATCTCGTTGTACTCGTCGGCGCCCTCCTCCAGCGCCAGCTGGATCTTGGCGTCGGCGCGCAGGGTGAGCACCACGTTCACGTCGCGGTTCTGGTTGCGAAGATTGTCCCCGTGCTGCAGCACCAGCGAGCTGATCGCTCACGTCAGCTGACGGTGTTCCCCTACCTCGGCCGCCTCATCGGCCCCTGCCACGGGCCTGCCCTCCTTCTCGGGGCGGCGCTCCTCGACCGAAACCTCCGCCATCGCCGCGAGCATCACTCCAGCGGGGCGAGCTCCGTACCGCAAGATGCCTAACTGCAGCGGACGGCTGTGCGCAAAGCTCCCGCTGCTCAATTCCTGGCGGGCTCGTAGTAGCTGAGTCGAGCGAGGGGGCAGAATGGTCTTCTCGAGCCACTGAAGCCTGAAGCTTTGCACTGATGTGGCGCTGCAAGGAATCTTTTCTGGCGAAGACCTGTTGGCAGTACGGGCACGTCTTGTTTTCCAAGTTGTTCAGGGGAAGGTCGAGGCGATTGGCCACGATTCCATGGGCTTGAAGTCGGTGACTGTTGAGGCCCTTCGGGCCCCTGCACACGTGACCGCATTCGGGACACTGGAGCATCACAAGCTGCAACCCGTCGGTGCGCTTCCCACCAGCGGGCGCGGGGTCGTTCGTAGCGTGAGATGGCAAAACCAGTTCAAGATCAGCCAGGGACAAGTCACAGAACCATCGAAGCCATGGTTTAGATACTTCTGGTTCGGGTCCAGGGCCGCCGTCACGAATACTGTTAACCTTCTTATGTTTTATATATATATATATAACAACAACAACAACACACACAAAAAAAAAAAAAAAAAAAAAAAAACAAAAAAAAAAAAAAAAAAAAAAAAAAAAAAAAAAAAAAAAAAAAAAAAAAAAAAAAAAAAAAAAAAAAACGCGACCCCATTCCCAAGGAAGTTTTGCGAGGGCAGTCTGGAAGAAATCCACCGCAAGAAACGCGGCGCCACCGATAAGATCGGAGGAGCCCTGAGACACAAAACCGACGGAAACGCGTGGGCGGTGGCCGCTGGGCCGTTGCCCCGCGCCTCACGCTCCCCTGCCTCTGCAGGGGAGGCACAGTGAAGGCGGCTCCCCCCTCCCTCTGGTGGAGAGAGGCGCACCCCCACAGAAGCGAGGCCCCAAAACTGGCCACAGGAATCCAGGCTCGAAGGAAGTTTACTGAGCGGGACCCCTGGGCTGCAACCTGAAAAAGCTCGTGAGAGCTCTCTGACCAACCGAGGGGCGAGAGAGGGGACGAGACGTCACCGTCGTCGGAGGAGGACGAGGGGAGAGAGCAAGGCAGGGTTCCCGAGCCTCGACTGGCCTGGCTGCTCCTGTTCTCACTTGCGTTTCTGGTTCTTCTTGCCGCCGCTGGCGGAGCCACTGCCCGATCGGAACGCCAGGGTCTCTACCAGCTTGGCTGCCTTGGACCTCGTCGCGATGTCGAACTGGAGAACGATACCCGCGGCGGCCAAGGCTCCGTTGGTCCGCAGCGTGTTGAGCGCTGCCTTGAACCCTGGGTAGTGATTCACCGCGAAGATCCACCTGGTCTCGCCCTCCTCGTTGCTGTCGCCCTCGTTGCGGCTGGCCTGGATCCGAAAGCAGCGAGTGGCCACGAACTTCGCCTCGGTGTTCTGTGCCAGCTTGCCCATCTGCAGCAGCACCTCCAGCGCTGCCTGCGCTGCCTCGGGTTCGGCCCCTTGCGACACGGCCTCCGTCACCTGCTGCCGCTTGAGGAGCACCGCCTCCATGATGCGAAAGACCACGGCGCGGGCCAGCGCGTCGGGCCGCTTGCCCAGCGGGTTGCCCAAGAACGGGCTGCCCAGCTCGCTCGCCTTCTCCTTGGCCTTGCGACCCTCGTCCTCGCACGTCGTGATGGCCTGCTCCAGCGCGTTCGCCAGGGCGCACTGCGGCTTGAGAACCATCACGAAGTTGTCGTCTCGGTGACCTGCTCGAGCGAGGTCCTCGCGCTGGAGGGCGAGCCTGGCGAGTGCCTTGGCCAGCGGGCCCACGATGTCGTTGCCCTCGCCCTTGTCCTCCGAGTTCGGGGCCGCCGCGCGCTTCTGGCTGGCTGCCACCTGCACCTCCGCGATCGGCTGGAACATGACTGGCAGGAACAGGAGGAGATGCTGCAAGCTCAAGTTGTGAATCTGCTTGAGCCTGAACGCCAGCGAGGACGGGGCAACGGCCAAGTTTGACATGGCGGATCAACGTGTCCTTGCGAGTGAATTGTTTCGCACAGTGTGAGCAACGCTTCTGTTGAAGATCGACATCCGAAAGAAAGTTGGTCGTGGGATTCGCATAGGTGTTGTGTGCAGCATGTTTGTGATTGGCGAGGCCCTTCTCTCCATTGCAATTTTGTCCGCACACATCGCACTGAATCCAGACAACAGCAACAGGTTCGCCAGCTGCGACCTCGCCAAAGGTGAGAACACGACGAAAGCAGCGCTGCTCACAGGAGGCAAGCCAGCGAAGCCACGGCTCAGCAAGGTCAGGTAGGTCACCGTGAAGAAGGAAGAGGCGGCGGGCCTCCAGCTGCTCGTGCGCCTCCACAGTGTTCCAGAGCTGGCGCAAGTCGCCCTTCAGCAAGGGAAGGAGGCCGCGGGGCTCACGCGGGCCAGGAGGCTCGAAAGAAAAGCGGCCGAAGATGACGGCGCGGACCGCCAGCGTGGCGTCATAGAGGTCGGGTGTGGGCCCACGGAAGACTGGCCAAAGGACTCGTCGCCACCATTTAAGTCGTCAATGCTGAAGTGTGCTCTCCACTGTCGGGACACGGGCCTTCCTCCTGATCTCGCGGTTGGTGAGCTTGTTGATGTGGGCAGGGGAGTGGAGAAGCCCTCGGAGTTTCCGAACTTGCCAGGATTCCAAGCAGAGGAGCTCACGCTTGGACATCACAGCGACTTCCAACGCATACAGGCCAACTGAACGAACCAACGCCTTCCACAAGCGTATCTTCATCTTCGGGCTGAACCCCCCTTGAAAGCACGTCGGAGGAGTCGAGCATGGGCTTGGTTGGCGCTCTGGAGCCGGTGGGTAATCTCAGTCTGGTAGCTGCCTGATGCGGCCATGCGAACGCCTAGGTACTTGACCGTCGGCTGCGGGTGCACGGCGGGGGCCTCGTCATCCTGCCAGGTCACGATGCCCGTGGAGTGTGAGTTGATGGACTTCTGGCGTCTCTTGCTTCCCGTGCCGCCGGGGATGAGGAGAAGCTCAGTCTTGTTCGCGTTGACCTTCATGCCACCGAAGGAAATCTCGCCGTTCACTAAGTCAAGCAGCTGGGACGCCTCGTCAAAGTGGTTTACCTCTCCAAACGTCAGCAGGTCGTCCAAGAACTCGAGGTGGGTAACGTCCAGGCACTCGCAGGAGTCATTCAGCAGCGGGTCCGAGGTGCGGATCTTCTTGAGGCTGGGGTCAAAGTAAACGAAGATCCCAGGAAACTCATTCTCGCGCTGACGTTCTGCCACCTCGGCAACTAGCTTGTCATAAGCAGCAACAAAGAGACCAGGGCTTTCCACTCCTCCCTGGCGGACGCCGCGCTGAACATGAATGCGAGAGCAGGGTAGGCGAGTGCGCACATCACGATAGAGGCAGCACATGCCGTCATGGAGCTCCTCCAGCGTCTCACGTGCATCAGGCCGTAGTTGGAGGGACTCCAGGCTGTCCCAGATGGACTGCCGTGCGATGATGTCGAAAGCCTTCTCCAAGTCAGTGAGGATGACCAGCAGCATAGGTGGAGGGTCCGTGGCTCGTCCGCGTACTCGAACTCGATGGGCATGCTGATGACGGGTGATGACCTCCATCGCAACCGAAATTGCGTCCCGAGTGCCACGGCCAGGCATGGCGCCGACCTGGGTTGGGGAGATCCTGTGGGAGATATCGCGCATGGCGTCGAGGGCGGTGACCCGCGCGAAGACCTTGCCTATGTGGCTGATGAGGCTGATGGTGCGGTAGTCGTTCATGGCAGACTTCCCATCGCCTTTCGGCTTGCGCAGGTGCGCAGACTCGCCATCCTTGAACCGCTGGGGTGCGGAGCCCAAAGCTTGGCTGCATCGAAAGATCTGGAGTAGGGGCGGGCTGACGTTCTCTAAGGCAAGCATCCAAGTCTCTGCAACCGCACCAGTAGGAGGAGCCTCTGGAAACCACTGTAAGGTAGGGCCTCCCTTGAAGTTCGGAAGGTTGCGAATGCCCTGCTTGATGTCGGCCAAGTCACACGGCCCGATGCGATCAGCATCACGGCCCATGTCACGGGCTCGGACTGGCAGTTCATGGAGCGCCATCGCCGTGCCATTGCACAGCGAACAGATACTCGCCACTCGGACTTGGTTATCACGTTCTGAGTCGAAGCATGGGAGGCCTGTCTGCGGGTCGCTGACGGTCACGATGGGTGCAGGTGGATTGGGTGCGAGACGGCGCACGATGGAGAACAGGCGCCGCAGGTTATTCTCGCCAGCCGAGCGCTCGGCAAATGCTGCAAGATGTGCCAGACGCTGCCGCTTCTCACTCCTGATGGCCTCGGTGCAGATCTTGGACGCCTCTAGGAACTTCTGGTGGAAGAAAAGGGTCAGCCATCTCGAGCCCGAAGAGAGCGCGGCCAGTTGATACTGCCAATGATGCTTCATCTTGATGAGTCGCATAGTGGCCTCCGAGAAGACTGGCCCCGTAGAAGCACCCCGCGGCTGTGGCATGTCGATGTAGTCCTGGGAGGCGGCCTCAATGATGACGCCCTCCATCGCGTTGAAGTACTCGGAGGGGTCGGCAAAGCGTTTGCCACTGCCGCAGACGTCAATCCAATCCCCATGCAAGCTCATCGCCTCGATGCCCTCCTGGACCTTGGTGCGGAAAAGATGCACACGATCAGGGATGGGATGGCTGTGCTCGAAGTCATCCTCTGCCAATTGGACTGCGCGCAGGTCTTGGATGAGAAATTCACGGCGCCAGCGGGGTCGTGCAGATGGTTCAGAGGACTTCAAGCGGGCCCCGATGAACATTTTCGTCTGTAGAGGGCGGTGGTCCCGATATCCCCCGAGGTTGACTGGAAGGTCGAAGCGAGGGCGGGAAGCGTGGCCGTATCCACCTTGGCGTCGGACAAGAACATAGTCGATGGTGGTCCAGGCTCCTGCGGGGCTCCTCCATGTGCCATTGCGGCGGCCTTTCTTCCCGAACGTATTGAGTGCCGCCAGCCCGAAATCCTCTAAGATGTCCATCAGAGCGCGCCCGTTGTTGTTGA